AAATTTAAAAGAGTTCTAAAATCTAATAAAAAGCTTATGTCACGGTGTTTGTGGTCGCACTCCTCCGAAACGCTTCGACTAATTTTTATGATTTTTTTTTGTGTATGTATATCAAGTATCTGTGTTTCTTCGAACGAGATAATGTGAACGCCTTCTCTTAGTACATGCTCGGCAATAGCTCATTTGTTGATTTGCCCGAGGCGAAAATTTCTCTTATGTTCAAAGAACGGGGTGCTAATAGTTCTCTCCGTAGTTTCAGTGATAACCGATCCACAGCTACAAGCGATCTAGTATACCCAATGTGTTGCTAGAGAATCTCTAGAGTCCTCAGCGGACCTTAAACTCTCTCTCATTTTTTTTACTTCTTGGAAGCTATTTGAATCCAATCCAAAAAGCATTTGTGATCCAATACTAAACAACGCCTAACACCACAAGTCTCATTAGTGGTGTTAGGCTTTGAAGAGCCTCCTTCATATTTGATATTTGAGGATCGAGTATTCTGTCGATCCCATAGATGACGTCATTTTAAGTTGAGATGTCATCGTCTTTACTTACCCTTGACCTTCAACAAGTTTTTTAGCACACATGGGAACGGTGAGGTCTTCTGAAATTTCATTCGTAACGGTGAATTGAAGATCCGAACCAACTTTCAGCTTTTTATGAATTATCGTAAGATTACCACTTTTTCACCTAATTTGAACGGACTATTTCCCACCCGCCGAGGACGAGACCTCATTTGTTTTCATGCCCGCGCGCCCTTACATGTACTCGCTTTCTCTCTCTCATCTTCGAGGTTTGTTTTGTGTTGCGTGCCGTGTTTTTAGTTAGAGTTCTTTTTTTTTGTTTATCGCCTTCCTAATGAACGTGCCAAAACAGAGAGTCGGATTACTGTTTCATTCCATTCGGCTTACACAGGTGCCCGTTTTATTCTGAGTAAAAGGGCGTCGGGGTAAATTAAAGCTGGCGACGCCAGGGGCTGATCTAATCAGGATGAAGACAGGATATTCCGGAATTGAGTTAGAGAATTTTTATCCACCGCTGGAAATGATTCGGGAAAAAACAAGGACGACAATACAACTGGCAAACAAGAGTAAAAATACAGAAACTTGGACAAGGGAGGGTTATATATTCCTAAAAAATCGTACACAATATTGAACAGAAGTTATTTTTATGGATATTAATTCAAAGTTTTTCGTTAATTTTTGGGTATTTTTACCTCCCACATGATAAACAATTTTTAACGATAAGTCACTGTGTACATCAATAGATATACAGTACACGCCACGACTGATGGCGAGCGATCGCGCAGTTATAGACACTCCCAATTAAATTACTTTTAGATTGCGATAAGCCCCTTGCCGGCCAGTGTCGCACCTATAAATAGTTTTAATTAGGGAAGCAAATGTAACATGACTTCTTTGCAATTTTTTTTCAAATTCACTATTACAGGTAGTAGTACAGTTCATTAAAATGTTATACAATGATACACTTATCCAGAAATAAACTTTAATCAGTCGTTTTCTAATTACAAATTTTTTTCATCCTCACTGCTGCTTGTGCTGGTACCGTCATTTAAAATCATAATCACTGGATTTACCTTTGTTTGAACGCTCTATATCTACTACATGTCGGCAACGCTTCTGCCATTCCTCGGAAGTGATTTGATCAAACTCGTGCTCCGCCAGTTTCCTCACATCTTCCAATTTGAAAGTTACATTCATTTGGAACACGTTGTTTTTGACAGTAGCCCAAATGAGTTCAATGGGATTCAAATCCGGATGGTAGGGTGGAAGTCGCAAAACGTGTTCAAGCAGAACCTCATCAAATTTGTATCAAATATTATGATGCTTTTTATTTAGCTTGATCAACTCGTATAATTCGCGTTTAAGCATGTTAGAAGTGGACATAATGCTTTTTTCGTGCAGCCACTTCATAATTTGTGTTGGGGGATGCATTAATTTGAATATTACGCTATGGGGCATTATATATCACGAATACCGAATTCAAAGGTAAATTTGGGATTAACTTTCCTTGTAATCAAGAAGAAAGAAATGAAACTTTCTATGTTTTTTACCACTTTCATTTGTAACTAACGTTACTGCAGTTTCGTCCTATACGGACATTTTCAATGTTTATTGTATAAGTTACAAATAAAAGTGGTAAAAAAACATAGAAAGTTTTATTTCTCTTTTCTTCACTATGATTTCCTGCCACGTAGTAACTGCTACATCCATCACTTTATTCCTTCTAATAATTTACCATAATTTTCGGAATTTATTTCTGAAGGATAATCACCTAATGTTGTGCCTGATTTGTATATGAACCGAAAATTAGGTATAAAGTCCATGTCACCTCCTTCATAAAAATTTTCTATTATTTTCAGCCCTTCTCCATTTGAAATCTATCTTCTTTAAAATTCTACGAAGAGACATTTCGGAAGCCACAATTTCCAAAACGTCAATAATTTTGTGTTTGAACTTTTTTATCGTAATACGGCATCCTTCCGTTCCATGAATATTGGAATACACATACTCGGTAATATCAGTTACTGGTGCTCTTCTAGGCCGCTTCTTTCTTGGGGTGGAAAATGTTACTTCTCCATTATTTGCAGAAATGAATTACACTCCTTCTTTAACCACTCTTTTAATGGTTCTTATTAAAATACCTAATATAAAATGAAGATGTGTGTTGAAATAGTTTTTTTTTAAATTTATTCAATTTTAACTGTAGCGGGAGATGCTTCAGTTTTCACATTTAAGACTTTGGAAATGATTGAACACTTTAAAAATTATTACACGTGCCTGGTTTTTTGTGAGGCGATGACATTTTTTTAAACAAATTATTCAGACAATGCCAAATGCCAACAGCATTGGAGAACAAGTAATGATACGCCTCTGTAACTGTGGTAAAATCTATATCGGTCAGATGAAAAGAAGCATTGGTAGCCGCCTAGTTGAGCACAAGCGGTGTGTGCCGGTTGGGACAGACCGAGAAGTCTGCAGTCGTTGAACATGCACCGTCCGACGGGGAACACAAGATCTTGTTCGAAAATACCGGTAAGAAGACCACGGCAAAACTTGGAAACCAACCAAAACATTGACGCAATACAATAGTAAATCTAAGCACTGACAGGAAATGAATTTATATGCGCTTTGCATTTCATAGAGGGTGAGGTAAAGAACTTGTAGGGTGCTCATTTTCGTCAAATAGTGGCTCTAGATCTGAATCAATGTCGTTTTGGTTGTTGTCGAGGATCTATTTCTTATTACCGCATTCTTAGCCAACGCAGAATTTGCAAACGGCGGAAAATTGACGTCCATCTTTCTACAGCCACATGCTCCTTTACAGTCCGTTGTGCATCTGCACAAGATATTTTTCGGAAAGTTTGGAAGAGCAGCGTGTCCACTCATTCTGATGGGTTTGCGGTCCCATTCCAATTCCCATCCATGCCATAACGTAATAGTATATCCTCGTGAAGTGGAAACGTGCTGAGTCAGTGGTCGGAGGTAGTTCAGATTGAGCTTGGAGGGAACAAAGAGAGCACGATCATTGTCTACTGCCATCATATAGGGGACCACGATTTTCTGCCCTGCTGCTGAAATTTCTTGGGGAGTGGTAGCGGAGGAGGATACCAGAATTTATCCCTCTGCTTTAGCAATCATTCAATAATTGATCGTTGCTTAAAGTTATCTAAATTTATTTTTTAAGTCCTTGAAGTTTAGCTTGTAGGAGAAGGAGTAGTATATTGGCATACACTTCAAATTCAAACCAAAATTTTTAAGCAGCGGTTTTTGATTTTTTGATAAATGAAAAATACATATGTCTTGTATGCAATTGAATTCCCCATGAGATTCACCATATTCCCCATAAGCTATTCATTTCTCTTAAATAAGCAAAAACTGAAATAAATCACCCTAGGGTTAGCAGTTTGATAAATTTCTGGAAAGTATGATTTTTAGTTTTCTATTACAACTGCATACATTCGAAACTATTAATCCTTGAAGAAAAAAAACAGAAACATTAATTGTAGGAAATTCTACTCTCTATGATATTGAGTGGAAAACTTTTGTATCTTAAATGTTCCAAAAAAACAGGGGGGAATGGTGCATATTGCATTTCAAACACATGTAATTTTAGACAACATTTTGAGAATTTAGTACTATATCTTGTGAGTAAATCCTCTCTTCATTATTAATAGTTTGTAAAACAATTTTCTCATGACTGATAATTTTTCGCTATCAGATTTTTTTTGCTATTACAAAATCTGGAAAAAACCAAAACCAAAGTCCACGAAGTCAATCTGCCATATGACTAAGATTCAACCAACTAGTTGTGAATGTTTTTAAATAACTGTCGTTATCTCTTCCAGTGACGTGAAGATCTTGGAAGGTGTTAGTGAATCGTGTTTCAAAGCTATCCCAAAAAGTGCTGATAGGAAGTTAAAAATTAGAGTTTTCACACAAAATTTTTGGAAGTCTACTTGTAGATTGAAAGTTTTTCCTGTGAGTGTAATTTTTCATCAATACTTTAATGTTACGTTTGTTGGGTAGCGTCTCTGTGTATGATCTGCTTCTCCTCAGACCCAACACTGGGCAGATTCCACTAGATATGGAAGAATACCGATTCAAAAAATCTTAAATTATGATAAACAGTATACTGCCCAATGCACCCATAAGAAATCCAGTATATAAATAAAGAGAGTCAGTGACTCCGGAATAGAACTATGCAGTACCTACTCTGGGTAGAACTATTTACCTTTTTCCATCGCTTCACGAAATCAATTTGAATGATGACATTGTTGACATACCTCACAAGTTTCGCACGTTCCCCATTTCTTGAATTAGCGTGACTCCTTTGTCGACTCTCGGAAAAAATCTCCCCTACAAATTGCGACTCCAACGAATAATGAAGCCGACTCCCACGCGTTCCCTCCACCCCCTCCCTGCCACCCCTTCAAAACCAGCGCCGTTCCACGTGACTAATTGCCTTGTATTCTCCAGGTGAACATCAGCAACACGTGGATGCTGCCTGAAGAGGGATTTCCGGTGTTTTACCGCTATTTCCGGGACCGTATATCCTGGTATGAGGCGGACGCCGTGTGCCAGTTCCACCATGCATACCTGGTAACCGGTAAGTACTCTCATCTCGGATCGGCGATCCGTCTTTTCGTCGACGCCCGACGGTGCTTTCGAAGCGGAGAGTTTCGAACAGAAAAAAATCGCGAATCGCAGGTCCGTAAACGAGTGAATCAATCAAACGAAATGGGCCGCTTCACGACGAAATCTTAACGGCCCTTTCGTCTTTCGATAAAATATATCTCAATTAGGGCGATAGGTTTCATCCTCGAAATTTGAAAACAGTAAAATTTATACAGGCTCATAAGAAGTGTACTCCTTTGGTTACTATGTTATTTTTGAAAATACAAAATCGTTCAAATTTGCAAACTAGTAATCTAGTAATATTTTTACAAGCTTTTATTTAACTTGCAAGGTTTGTACGTACCCATGTATGTGGACTGTTAAAAAAATAAGGTGTATGTTCGCGGGTAAGAGATTTATTTTTTCATGTTGGTACACTGAAACTGAGAACATTGTTGCCAGGTTGTGATTCTTTATATTTTATCATATATAATCATATTAATGTAAATAGTATAATTTTTGCGTGGTTGGCAATTTTCTGATATCGCAAAAAAAGTAGAACAAAAAATGTGGATTACATTTTGTGTAAAAAGTGAATTAAGTGCTCAGAAACATTTGAAATGTTGACAATGGCATACGGTGATGGTCGACAAGATGTGAATGACGACGCTTGCCCTGGACGCCCTACCACATTATTAACCGATGAAAATGTTGAGAAAGTGAAGAAATTTGTTATGCTTGATCGTCGAATCACTATTACAGACGTTGGCATATAGGTGGCTCAAGCCATGATATTTTTTCGGATATTTTGCAAAATTTGTTCCAAAATGGCCGAATTTTGACCAAACAAATCGTCGCACCGTGTTAGGAATCACACGTTAAAAAGTAAGACCTCGTTAGTCCATAGCTCGCACAAGTTTCGTCTTTTGAGAGTTGTCGTTCGTAGGACGACAGCTGATTTCTATTACTGTGGCGTAGTGCATCAGAAGTTTTTGCCACATGGTCGTAGGTCAATGTGGAGTATCATCTTGAAGTTATGCGCCGCCTGTGAGATGCAATGCGAAGAAAACGTCCGGAATTTTGGAAAAACAACGTAATCATGTCTCGGCCACTGTATTGACCAGACTTGGACTCCTGCGACTGTTCCCACGATTGAAGAGACCCATGAAAGGACGGCGTTTTGCGATGATTGGGGAAATGAAAATCGAATCGCTGAGAGAGATCTTGCATATGCGAAAAAGTACGTATCAGGTCGACGTTTTGTCATCATCCCACATGGCATTATCATTCGTTCTTCGTTACGTCTCACGAAGAAATACAGATCACTTGGAAATCGTAAAATTTTATATTCATCTTTTATTATTTGAAGAAATCGTTTGAAATATCAATTAGGGAGTAAGGCCCAGTATACTTCTATTCCCCGCGCAGGATTCCAAAATTGGTTCAACAAACATTCCATCGACATCCTCAATTCAGACACTCGCCCTTATTTGGTCTAATCCGCAAGTGTGATTTCACATAAATTCAGTTCGTCTTCATCAAAATTCATGATTGACATTCGATTCGTATTTCAGAAAGAGTAATTTTTCCATTATCAGTTTGCTCTATCAAAAGATATAAACAATTCAAATAACTAAAAATTGATTATTTTTGCGAATATCTCAAAAAATATTGAAGATATTCAGAATTTAAAAAAAAGTCCAATTCTCGTCTCTCTGTATCACCAAGATTTAGAGTTTCAATTGAGCGATGAAAGTACGAGTGAAAACGGATGGTCCAGCTCGTGCACAAACTCCCGATTCGGGCACTTCCACAAAAAAATATTGTAACTTTATTATGTACAATCACAGGGACATAGCGGTTGTGGCAGTACCGGCCAGGGAGCCGGCAGCGCGTGCCTATAAATAAAGCGTCGCCGGGGCAATAGTTACATCGATAGTTACATAAAAATGCGTTTGTTATTGAATTATTAATGGTTTCCAGTGAATATCACTATTGAGTAAAATTTTTTGATGAGCAATTTGTTTATAACAAGCAAATTTTACACTTCATTTTTATGGAAAAATTAAAATTCAAATGAAAATAACCACGCGTTGTTTTGAAACGAGAAAAATTAACGGAATATCAAATAAAATACAAATTCACAGAATGATACCTACATGATTTTTAATCAGTTTTGTAGCCTAGTCATTTTCCAGCAGGAATAATCTCTAAAGAAAGCCTTCAAAAAAAGTTGAAAGTTGCAGGTTACAATTTGAAAAAATACCAAGATGTAAACCTTCAATTTGGTAGAAATTATTATTTAATAAAAGAATAATCAAAAGGGTAGAACTATTATTTATTCAGCTGCTCATCCAGGCACCTAATTATTTCATTACTTTTTATTATATTTCACGGGTTTAAACAATTTGTTAAAGCAACTGAATCAGGAATAAACTAAAATTTAGTGTTATAGTTTCAGATAATGAGAATCCTCAAGAATATTTTTTCAAATCTTCAGTATCCGCAATAGTCGAGATACTTGTAGAAAAACAAAACCTCTATTTTGTTCAACTAAATCGCTTATAACGTTTTGACTATTCATTAGCGCAACTTGCTCGAATCGTAAATTACTCGATAATAAATTACGAATCAAACGACACCTCAATCATAATTTTCGATGAAGGCGAACTGAAATTATATGAAATGGCACTTGTGAACCAGACTATAACTGTCCTATCAGCGCTTCAGGTCGTATCTGACCCGTTCGAATAATTCAGAACGAACGTATCTCCAAACCTCAATGCGGTCTCCAACAAAATCGGCCTCACGTTCACAATCGATTAGACGTCATACGGGAAACCTTCGTTCCTATTTTCTGCTATAAATTATTCAGCACCTCTAACTCTAAGTTGATGTAGACAATATCTCAGCGAGCTTGACGGTCTCCCATTTACCAGAAATTCTCCGAGAAGAAAAATTACCTCGGTGTGCCGACATCATTCGGAAAAATCCCAAGTTCAAATATCCTCTGCACGGGGTGTAATCAAGGATAAGCATAAACAGATATAGAAGCAGAAAAATTATTCAAAAATTCTTGTGTTGCAGACTATCAAAAGATGTCTTCACTTCGAGATTGTTTGAAAGGCAGGTAAAAACTTTATATTTCTATTAATTTCGACACCGAAATGGCCATAAACACTTTTTCAACCTTTTTATCAATCATAAATTGAGTAAATGTTTTCTGCTGATTGGGAGTCTAACTTGACTCTAAGTCTTCGGAAAACACTCTCAATGGAAAACTGCCTTGTTGAAGCAGTTCTTTAGTTCTCTTTTCGGACGGTCACGTTATAAAGGTCACACGTCACAAGTCACACGTGGCAGTAACTGTTAAGCATCATGAAAGTAACTTTAGGTGAAGGTGAATTTTCATTTTTCTCAAAAAATATTGATTCACTCATCAATTTCTATTTTGTCCCCTTCATAATAGTCACCCTATGCACTTTTTGGAATGTTCTTGAACTCTCTCAGCGATTTCGGTTTTTATCTCCTCAATCGTCGGAAAACGCCGCTCTAAGGCGCTCTAAGAGCAGTGCCTGTGCGAAAGTAGCGATTCACATTGAATTTGAATCGCTGGAAATTAAATTGATTTGGAAAAAGGTCTCAGAAAGTGCATTCTACATAAACGCAGTTCTCCAAATGGAAGAGTCCTTAAACAGCAAAGTTCGAGATGTACTGAGTTGAACCTCAAAACGATAAGCGGCCACAGTCCGTCGCGTATTTCTGATATGTACCGCTCTTAGTGGAATCAAATGTGCCAAGTCACTTGAACACTTCTCATGAAATTATCTATAGAAGAGAGACAAATCTCCAATCTTTCTTCGATGTTCCAGACTATCAAGGTTGCACGTGGTGTTCGCGTCTCCAATCAGGCGGATGGCTCTTTTCTGGATAGAATCCAGCAGCTTCAGGGTATGTTTAGGGACGGAGCTCCATACATGAGAGCAATACTCAAAAGAAGGTCTGATTTGAGATTTGTCCTGAATACGAGGACAGCGAATCTGAAAGCGCGGCCATGAGAGCAGCAATCTCGGCAACAAGAAGGCTCACAAGGAGGCGACGGAAGGCATGGGTAAGCTCAATGTCACATGGAACATAGTGAGAATGGGTAGTAAGAACGAAGAGAGAAAGAGAATCAAAGAGCAAATGAGGGCAGTGTGGCAGAAGGAATGGGATCCGGAAGAGACTGGGCGACTGTTCTACAGATTCTGAGGTGAGCCTGAAACGGCAGATCATGTGATAGAATAATGAATGGATGGAGATAGGACTGGATGGCTTGAATGGAAAGGATATAAGGAGCGGGAAAATGGAGAGATGAAATTGAGAGGAGAGAACGGAAGGAATAGCGAATGGATAAGGTTTGTTAACGAATGGGCAGAGAATGTGGTGAGGGATGAACGAGAAGAGTGAAGAGCAGGTTGTCACCTTGGCGCCATCGAACTGGGGGTTAGACAATGATCTCCCCAATCATAGCGGACATAAAGATTGTAGTGGCATCGGCCTGTTGATATATACAAATAGTTATAAAGTTAATTCAAAATTACTTCTAGATCCTCATTAAGACATGCAACCTCCTGCTGCTGGAGAAGATGTACATCTGCAGCCGATTCCCTGGAATCCAAATGAAATGACAAATCTTCGTTTTTTTCCAATAAGTCGTTGATATACAATAAAAAGAGGGTTGGAGGCAATATTGATACCTGGGGAACGCCAGCGTTGCTGGTGAAAGTATTCAAGAGATATCCATCGACGGCCACTTGCAAGGAACTTTCTTTCAGGAGGCTGGAGATCAATACACAAAAGTGATTCGAAAAGCCATAGCATCGAAGTTTGGTCAGCAAACCCTCATGCCACACACGGTCAAAGGCCTTAGAAATATCAAGCCCAACAGCTTGTGACTGTCCATGTTTCTCGATTGCGTTATTCCAAATATGGGTGACATACGATAGAAAG